TATTAAGGTCGTGCTGCATTAATTTCTGGTCTAAAATGTCAACCTGTTACCACAAATTCACTGTCAACAAGTCGATCTATTGCATCAAGTACAAATACCTCATCCTCGCCAGTTTTAAGTCAGATTACCACTAGAAGATATTCATTATCGCGAACAACTTCTGAACAATCCAATTCAAATGAGAATAGAAAACTTACGGACAGTGAGATTACTAACTACAACAATCACAATACAAGTAGAAAATCATCCTTCGCGGATTATGGCCATGGATCTCAATCTGAAGTGAAAAAAATATTTGGTAAGCATTTTATCACTTGATATAGACAGCACCATTTTAATTTTAATAAAATATTTTCAGATGATTTGGCCACTGCAACGTCATCCTCATCGAGATCGAATACAATCAAATCTTTGATACCTGCTCAAGAAGCACCGGTTAATTTACTTGAACAACCCGATATAAAAGAAAAAGCAATGGTCCAAATACTTTCTCCACAGTTTGAACGAGTGAATAAATCTTGCTGACTTTTAGAACCAAAAGAAAAATTCGATAAATAGTGGATAAAATGTGTCCTTGACATATGAATATATTTCACTCGGCTTGAATAAGACATTCATACGGATATTTATTAGAAGTAAACCCTATTGCCATTCTTGTTAAGATACCATATCAAGAAGAATAAAATGATCCATTCAGATTATTTGATACATCAAAATTTGATTAATCATTCATTTGCAAGGACACGAGTCAGATGTAACATAAGCGCTTGCTCTAGAATACAAACAGTAGTTATTGTAGATGAATTAACACTAAAAGAATAGCTAACATTAATATGAGATCTCTGGTAAGAGTCAGACAGTTTAATTCTTAATTGCACAACTTAAACAAACTACTGTATTATGAACTTCATTTACCAAATGTAGTTTTTTAGTTTCATTAAAAAATATTGACAAAATTCGTTTTATTTATATTTCCATTTTCAGAATAATCGTTTTTCTCCCGATAATGGTGATACAGCTAAAAGTACAAGCATCAACAATGAAAATGGAACAGAGAATACGGATGATGTATTTTTATCGATAAAAAATAATTCATCGACACACTTGTTGAATGAGACGAACAATGATGACGCTAATTCTATATCCGAGAATGAAAGATAATTTGATAATTTTTTATTTTTATCATTTTACTTGTACGCCTCCACATATGTCTTTCACCTAACAGAGTTAAACATCAATCAGTCGTACAAATGTCCGGTTGACTACACCCTTGACGTACAAATGGTGAACTCTCAGTTTTGAACCAAATTAATTGCATTTGGATTCCGTTCGGCTGTTCTCTCTTTTTCTTTCCTTTTTTGTTGTGAGATAGTTCTAAGATCCCACAACAATGTATATATGTAGCAATGAGATAGATGTATTTATGTACAATGATGAATATTATTTTTTCTTCTATTTTTAAAGAATCTTTAACAATATTTTTAACATAAAAGAGTTAAATTTATTTTATTATCGTTTTTCTTTTTTCAACGTTTTTATTTTTGATGTTGATAGGGTTTTATTTATATATTATTAGAGAATATACTGTATAAGTGTTACATATCCAGAATGCCATGATTTCTATTTTCTGTGGATAAAGAAATTTTAACCGAATTATTTGTCGAACAAATAAGAGTGAATTTTAAAGATGAATATTCCACAGTTTTTTGCTCGTTAATTGATTTCAATCAATATTACGAAACATATACCATTCTCATTGTAGTCCAACAAAAGTTGTCGATTTTCCATAGAATATAATTGAATTAAGAAAGTTTTTTGTACTGTAAAAATTTCTCATTGTTTCAAGATTTCCGTGCAGAGTAGCAGACCGAACACTTGAGTATAGTTATTATCGGAAACCATTATACAAATTCAGTGAAAAATTCGAACATGTATTATAAGAAAGATTAATAAACAATCTTTTTAGTAGGTAAATAAAAGGAAATATATTCAATCGCAAGGAAGAAGAGTAAATAGTTGATTTTGCAAAAAGCAATATAATGTTAACAGAAAGCCTTATAAATTTCAATCGATTGCACGCGTTGGGTTTCCTTATTCGAAGGACACAAAGTTTCTTATTGTCTTTATGTAAAGAGTGTACCAGCTTCAATGCCTGTCTCCGGAGGGAAAAAATTCTAACTTCCCTACTTACATTAAGGAATACTTCAGGAATTCGATTTTCCTTCGAAATCGAAATCGAATCGATCTTGGAAAAGATTTCTGAAAGTCCTAAAAACCACCTTTTTCTAAATTTCAAATTTCAAATCAAGTTTTTAAGGTTGTCCGTTTTAACAGACATGGAGTTACGTTGAGCAGTGTGTTCTGACTAGAATGAGATGTCGGCAGGTTTGTACGGCTTCGCCTTGCAGAGTTATAGTAGTTTTGCTAATGGCGCTGAATTATAATTACTAACGTGATAACGTCATTACTTAGAATATGCCTTTGGCGCAGCAAAATTGTTACTCCTTCTAGAGGAATTATCGTAAAACCTTCATTTTTTTTCTTTTGAAGCTAAGACATTTATCTAAAATTTGTCCGTTGCGATTTTTGAGTTTCGTTTTCTCAGCAGAGAAAAATGGAAAATATTCTTCCGAGTTTAGGGTTATTTTCACAGTTCTGACTTAAAATACCTGTAGAAAATGAAAGGAAGCGAGACTCAAAAATCGCTCCGGACAAACTTTAGATTTAGGTATCTTCTATCATTTCACACCACCCGCAGCTTTCTATTCCTTACGACAAAAAAGCCTTAGCGCTGTTGCTAACAGCCTCATTTTGATCTTTAGTTCTTCAATAACTCGAGAACGTTTCAAGCTCAAATTTTTGCCATAAGCCAGTTGGACAGTAAGCATTAATCACTGAAAGCGCCATCGAAATCGGATGTGAAAGGGAAAAGGGTTTTCCTGAGTGCTCACTCACTCACTAAGGGGTCCTCAAGGAACCCTTAAACATTCACGAAACATCATTGTTCCTAACACTGATGAATCTCTCCAGAGGCATGGGTTTCTCCGTCTAATCCATCACCCTGGATAGCGACCATCAATTCCAAGTTTGTGGGAAGTCGTAAAGAAATCAGAATGGTATTTATCGACTATTTTCGTCTACATAAACTTTCTCATTATAATCTAAGTATCAGCTAAATGGTACTTCTTTTATTGATGTTAGTCGTATTACGCAAGAATAAAGTGTTGAATCAAAACTTGGAACAACTCGATGAGCAACTCTCGATTTGCAATTAAAACTTTTTCATGAAAATGCTATATTTCTGATCTGCATACGTTTTTGAAAATAAAGCTGAAATGTTATAAGATGGCCGTTCCTCACAACAAAAATAATTGCTTTCGAATAAAAATAGTGGAAAGTAGAGGAAGAGTGGCTCTATTATTCTACGTAAAAACGTCGAGGGTAAAATCGTTCATATAAATACCGAAATTTAATTTTGATTATATGGTCTGTACAAGAGATATTTACAGTTGAATTGATTATGATCTGTGTGTATGTTGAATTTAGGTTGTTTGTATGCAATTTATTAGTATTGATATATATTCAGTTCATCACATAAACTATCGTGTTCATTGACAAGAACAATTTAAGCTCGTTTTCCATGTATTACTTAAAGTAATACATGAATCTGTTGAATGTGTTCATTTTATATTACAAGTTCAAGTCTATTTAAACAGTTATTTTTAGAACAATTGCTGGAAGATTCTGAGACAAAACGACAGGCGACAAAGTATCACGATCAGAAGAGTAATTAACAATTATCAAAAGATTAGTCTTTGGTGAGGTCGGATTGAATCTATCAATATTTCTGTCGTATTTAGACAAACAATAGACCGCAAGATATTGAACAAGAACATATGAATGAAAGATGTGTGTAATCCCGAGATGTTTTGATTGAAAGAAAATTTCGCATAACTATGTTATCAATATCAGTAAACAGATCAAAGTTGCCGACAAGAGAGTACAAAACCAGAAAATGCCTAACCAATATTAGACACCGATAAGTAGCAATTGTCGTTTTTGTTATTTGTTTTATATATGAAAATCAGCTTTTATTTTGTGTTAGCTTTGTTACTTCGTTTTTTATTCACAATGTTTTTATACTTTGACAATGAAACGTGTATGTGACAGAAAAGAGAAGAATGAATATATACTAATGCAATCGATACGATTGCACACAGAAATAGTTTAAAAAAAAACAATTAGTAACAAATAAATACAATAAAAATAAGAAATCTGACGTGTCATCACCCAATTTCCATCGTTTACAACATTATCGTAGGTTGTGCATGATCGACTAAAATAAAAACATTGTTTATATTTATTATAATATTTTTATTATTAAAAAAGTGCGTACTTTCACTTTCGACTTTTGAGTGTAGTTTTGCTACATCACTCATCGCCATATCTGAAAGAAGTCAATATGAACTTATTAGCAACTTATCCTAACAGTTTTTATTTGTACACTTACCAGAATATTTTTATTCAGATGAATAAATGAAATTTTTTCGCCCAATGACGTTCAATAATAATCGGGATAGATTTTATGAATTCGGGGTGGGACAATATTCTATTGATTGTTTTATATGTCTTTCGTTTCTTCACTCCACGTTGGAACAACGATAACCCACATATTAAGTTTTTATTACTCTTCAAATCGTAATACATTTTAATTGTTGCCAACTGACGTTCAAGTTGGATGAACTTTTTCAATAATATTCTCATTGATGGACTTTGTTTTTCTCCATCCAGAATAACATTCTCATCAAATTCAACATTTTTGTGTGTTGTCACTTCAGCGATAAAAATGGTGCTAAATTTGATTTTTGCATTCGGCAATTGTAGTGGTATGATTAACGAAGATGAAAGCGAAGATGTGACAAGCGAGCCAAAGCGAGATATTTTTGTGGGCGATTGCACATTTTCCATCGGCGGATGTGTATCCACCATGCCAAAGCCAATCACATCAAATTGTATGGTTTCTGGATTAGTAACTGTATAATGCCAATGTTCCCCCGTTGAGCACCGTAAGTTGATGTTAAATATGAGTGCAATTTTGCGAAAACGTTGTACATCGGTAAACTATGATCATAACGGAGAAGTCTCTCACACGGTCGTCCTTGTGTTGTATTGAATATTAAACCGTCATGTGCTTCGACTCGAACGTACATGGCCGGTATAACTGTCGTTTCATAAATGGCGTTCATTTTGTCACTGAGTTCATTAAAGCTGTGTCTGAGTTCACTAAAGCCAACTTTCATTTCACTTGACAATTTACTTAACATGATTCGCATTTGACCAATGAGAGGTGAAGCATTCACAACTAAAATGAAGGTCAAAATACCAGCATATGATAGACAAGATGAGAAGTAAGAGTGAGGAAATGCCCACTGTTCACCATCTAAGATATAAATACCCCATATACGTAGGACAAGTTGAAATGACAAACAATCTAAAGCTAGAAGACAATTAATCATGCGTGGTAGTCTTTGAAACGATCAACAATAGATTTGTAGAAACAAGTAATAAATAAAACACAGCTAAAATCAAGGTCAACATACTAGCATATGATAGACAAGATGAGGAGTAAGTGAGGAAATGGCCAGTGTTTAAGGCATATGGTAGCGGGAACTATGTGTGTTAGTCTTCTGAAATAAATACGACTGTTGGCATTGAAATATCGCTTTTTTGAGTGTGTAAAAATTCTAACACATGTAGATTGGAACGAACTAAATGGGTTAAATTTTGTTAGATGAACGGATCCCTTTAACAGTGCGCATTTAAACGCGTCGACCGGACTAGGAGTAAACACATCAATGATATTTTCATATTGATACACAGGACATGCGTCTCGATGAATGATGGTAATCAATCTTTCGTGGGCAGTCTCCAGTGTCACCGTCTCAGTTCTCATCTGGTCAGAACCCAAAGGTTTTATTTCAATGATAATCTGTTTTGATGCCATATACAATCTGAAGATAGAAGGCATAAATCAAACCAAAGTTTTGGTGGCTAAATTAGCGGAATTGCTGATGTTACGGTTTTCTAAACAATTCAAAACGAAGGATCACACTCACTCACCCACAGGGCACGAAGGTCGGTTGGATAAGTCAGTCAGATATACCATTCGAGTGAGCAATCAGAGTACAGAAGATTTTAAGGAAAATTATAGAAAAAATAGACAGAAGCGACAATGTTCCCTTGACTTTAGTCTAGGGTCTTACAAAATGATTGTCTGTGTGTCTGTGCGCAAAATACGGAAAAATGGCTGTCAGATATTCTATGGATAACGAATCACAAGAGAGAAAAGTAGAAAATTATTTTTTACACAATAAGAGAGAAAATATTCAAAGAGATGACTGAAAAAATAATTACTGTTATGATCTGCCATTCCTGGCAGCTCATAAGACTGTGTTTTCTTCTTCTTTTCCTTTCTTTCTGTTATTGCGCAACTCTTGCTTCATAATGGGATTTTCCTAAACTATTTCTGTTCTTATGTAAC